ATACTAAAAAGGTTATTCAGTTTTGAAATGTGTCATAATATTAATGGGAGTCATTGTAACTGTGGCCATTAGTATTAAGGCCTTTCACACGTTGTTCAGCCAAAATTGCATAGTTGAAATGAACTCTTTAATTATAGATAACGATCCACTATCTAGCGTTCTTCAGAGATCAGTGAGTGTACCTTATCGTTTCAAATGGCAATTATAATGAGTCGTACAGGACTCTGTAAACTGTCCCACTGGTGGCACGCAAATTAAATCAATTTTTTCAAATAAAAGTTGACTGCGAGGCACTGCGTGGGCTCATTTTAAAACTAAAACTTCGGAGTATACTTATCGTACTCATATGTATAACGATTCGATATGACTATCGGTGCTAGAGCTATAGTCCTCTACAATGCGGATACAAGCATGTAAGATCAATTTGAAACGAAATGCGTGCAATTAACGAATGTCTGTCACCTTTCTTGGACAGCTGAACGATGGAAGGACGACGAAGCGAGAAGAACATAAATTATATAGCGTTCCTTCTTTCTCTCCTCGGTATAATCGAATCTTTTATTCATCGTGCAAATTTCGCATCTGCCCGCGTATACATAAACGACGGCATTATGCATCTCATAGATTTTGCCACGAAAATATCGTACGTACAGCTGGGGACAATGATTCTCGACCTCTATTTTATTCTGTCAGTTTCCTCTATGGGAATAAGATACGAAAATAGTAATAAATCTAATTGTATGTCTCATTTCTTCAACGATCGATCTGCCACTTTATTTATTATACTGCCACTATGTTTATATATACACAAGTTTATTACTATTCTTGGGTCTTGTTCCCGACGGAAATTAACAGAATAGAAAATCATTGTCAGAAATACTTAAAAAATTCATGAGATCGCGGGGACGAGATGGCGAAGTGAAATCGACTCACGTATATACATGGCAGACGCGTAGATTTACATAGATAGGCAGACGACAGTCTTCGCATTTGCACAACGAATATCGAAGGGATCTCGATCACTCACCGGACGAGTCCGCGGACGGCCAGCTAGCCCTCGGTATGACTGGCGGTAATACGCTGAGCAACAACAATGGCAGGCCACCCCCGATGCTCGGATTGCGTTGCGGAATAGACGTGCTCGACGATGCGTGCGATGGTTCGACCGGCTCCTGCGCCAATTGTTTCTCCAATCTGGCTAACTCCAGCTCCAGCTGCGCCATTTCGCGACGGTACACGCGATTCTGCACTCCCACGCGGTATTGTAGCTCGCTATCGCCGCGGTAAGACGTATTCCGGTTAAATTCGTTACAAAAAAATTGCGTCGCTACGGTTATAACCGCGAATTGTATTAATTCCGCTGTTAGAGTGGTCGCGTTAAATGTACGAATGAGTCCTACGTGAAATGAAACGGTTTTATTTCTACTTCCATCCCCACTATAATACGTCTGGTTGTGCTCGAGCTCATTTTCAGTAGCGTAATCGGATCGTAACGTAATTCGATCCGCAGTGAATATCTATGTGAATTAATACTGATTCAACGACAAAACGTTCTTATCGTTTTTTTTTTGTACATGCATTTTTTCTAAGATTTTTCAAGCGAATTGTAAGCCCGAGAATTCTATCGTCCCGGATAATCGTAAATGCCGGATTTGAATCGTGCGTCCCGTTACCATAGCCTTGTAGTTTCGGATACGAGTTTTCGACGGGAAAACTTTAAACGTCGACCGTAATACGATTTCGATCCCCTGGTGGAACGCGATATCTCGCAACTTCTAAGCGGAGAATTCAATAAACTTTCCTTCATGCGCGATGCGTCGCTCGGGCCGAAATTCAGTAAAAGGCGGAGGATTGAATAAAATATGACGAACGATATCTGTGACCCGATTTTAAAGGCGAACCGTTTCTTAGCGACCGAATTGTCGAAACGTGGGAAGAACGTTAAAACGTGCTCCAGTTTAGGCAATAATTAATATTTTCCCGTTTTGATGGTCGCTAGTTACGAATTAAAATTTATTCATAGGTGAATGATTTTTGCAATTATAAATATCTCCAAATAATCAAACCTCGTCAACCCTAACAGCATTGACATACTAATTTTCAAGCATACACGGCAATTTTTTAATATGCCGTCACGTTGGATTGGCCGACTTGTTTTCTTGAATTTTAAGTTCAGATCCGTAATCAGCGATCCTCAAAAGTTTCATTCGAATAGATCGCGATACTTACGTCCTATCGTCGGTGACGAATCTCCTCGTGTTGCACTCGATCTTCAAGCCGAGGCTTTGCACCACGGGGTCGGCCCTCTCGCCGGCGAGAATATTCGTCAGTTGGGGTAGAAACAGCAACGCCAGCGTCGCCGTTGTGGACGCCAAGATCAACGCCGTGATCGTGACGAAGGCCAGAGTCGCGCGATCGGACATTAAATTCGCCAGCACGACCACGATACCGGAAGTGATCACCACGAAGTACACGCTCATCCCTATGTACTGGGAATCGTTCAGCGCTGGTATCTTCACGTGCCTGGAATTGCGTAAACGGGAAACGTAGCTCATACGAGGATATAAATCTCGTTTCTGATTCAAACGTTAGACCGCACCGTTGCGCCGCGCAGTGCGTTTTCATAAAAAAAAATCGTTGTAAAAACTGTTTATTTTTAATAACAATTTATTAACGAATTCAATTTATAACAAATATAATCATCAAATTATAACAATTAATAACAAGATTATAATCAAAATGTTGAAGAGGTGAAGCAAGTCGTTTCTGATTTTCTCGTAGAAAACGATCCAATGTTCTATTGCACTTTGGTCATTTCTTTGTTAGTTTTTCACAATACGGATCATTAATGTACGTTATTCCTGAGGTACATTATTCCTGAGGTCCTGGACAGAATAAAAGCCAACGACTTGTTCGTTTTTGTCGTATGACAACGCACTGTGCGCCGGTTCGTTACGAATTCAACGTTTAACAACGGACGAATCAATACCTTCCATTATTCCGACGATCTTGGAGCGTTTAATATCGTTACACGGTACAACGACAATTCGCTGTAGGCGGAAAGAGGAAACATCTTTGCTAATGAACGTTCTAATGGCATCGCTCGTTAAACTCTAATTCCGTTTCAACTCCGCCTCTTCGATCGAAAGTTTTCCGGCCCGAACCCCTCGTAGTAACGGATCTTTTTTATGTATGTATGTACGTACATCGAAAATCTCGCATCCGTAACTTACGACCCCGAAACTGAGAACAATCTTTACCTCGTTTCCCAGGCCATGTACACGCCTACGATCAGCAACAATCCCTTGTAAACGTACAGCGCGCCCAGCCAGCTGTTCGTGTGTAGAGAACGGCACACTTCCACCTGTTTCGAAACGGTACGATGACGAGAATTAATCGATCGTTGTTCGTTAAAGAGATTCCTACAGTTCTATCCGTCTTAACGAGGCTCCCCGTTGAGATCGGTGGTTTTATTAAAATTGAGTTGGTGGTTTTAGGTGGTTTTATTAAAATTGGGTTGGTGGTTTTAGGTGGTTTTATTAAAATTATGAAGTCAGGTGAATATGTTCTACTAAGAAATCAAAGAATCTCAATTCAGCATACATTACTATAGCTTACAAAATTAAATTGTGATTTCTTAAACGAGCTAACGTTGTTCCGGGTCAGTCTCGTAATATGACAACTTCGAATAACTCGTACGATATTTATTGTACAATAGAAATGAAATTAAACAACTATTACATGGTTTCCACATGCAGTGATCTATTTTCAGTTTCTTTCCTTTTCTATTTCAATTTATTTCGTAATCGTGCTTCTTTAAACCAGCTATGTATGTAGCTTAGGGAAACAAAAAAGATATCCCATCTTATTCTTCAGAATTAGAACTAATCCCCGCAAAAAGCACCCAATTTTAGCCATTTTCTAGCTTAAGGAAAATTGTGTCCACTTCTTCTCGTTTTCCGACTACTGTGCGACGGATTCGCCGCGTTACGTTTTTAAATACCTGAGGTTGATAGACCACGCCTCTGTCCTGCGGATTAATCTCCAGCGTCAGGTTTCGCAGGTGACGCTGCATCGGGTCGAAGGTCACCCATAGTGTCACCACGAGGCCGTCTACCAGTAGAAGGACGCAGATCAAACTTATCAGCTGCGTGTCTTGAAGCAGCTGCAAGTAGCCAGACTATAGCGATACTTCTCGCGGTAAATGTAGAAAAGATTTCGCACGATTCCTCGACGCCATCGGGTGTAGTTACCTTGTTCTTGACAACGCCGCTTCTACTCCTCGTAAAAATCCGATGCACGCGGTACGTCTTGGTGAACATCGATCCGAAGGCCAACGAAAACCCGGCAGACAATAAATAAACTCTTGCCTGGAAAACGGTGCGAGACGTAAGGAACGATTCTCGTGTTTTAATGAAAGAAACATTGTCTCAAAGTTCATTTCGATACCATCGCGTATGAAAGAACATTTCTACAACTATCCAAAACAATTCCTATTCCACTTGATACGCACACATGCAAAAATTCAACTAGTTAAGTTGCAATGCAAATGAATCCTAATTAAAACTTGAATTAAAATTTCAAGTTCTAGGAACAGATTTTGATGAAACGCAACTTAAATTAAAGCTATGGATCCCAGAAATGTAAATTAATTGTTTAGAAAATGAAAATTTAATTTTTGCACACATGAATGGGAAGTGGGTGACGAATCGTTTTAGGTAGCTGTACTTCAGACACTTAATATTAGACATTTACGTTGATGAGCTTTGATAAAAGTTTCGGATCGACTGATCCATCGTGAAACTAACGAACGGAAAGTGACCGATGCTCACGGTGCAGACTGTAGGATAGTAATCGTTGCTGTCCGGCAGCGTGGCGTGATCCAAGCCCAGTAGTATGACCGCACCATAGACGAGACCGCAACCGACGGCAGCCATGTTATTCAGTCTCGGGCTCGAAAGTTTGATGCTCCTGTCGAGCAACGAAAGGGACATTGCGCGCTTGTAACCCGCAGTGACCGGTCACCGCGGAAAGAATCGACCGACGTGAACTTACTTGTGCTTGCGGAAATGCAGATTGAAGGCCAAGAAAGCGAGGGCCAAAGTTACGCCGACGCTGGCGAGGCACGTAACCGCCAGGAAAGCCGCAGGTGCCACGGTCACCACTCTCAATCTGCTCGTAAAAAGAAGAAACGATTAAACCTCTAAAAAAATGTCTCGATATATTCACGTCTCGAGTTTTATTCACTGGCCCATTTGTCTATAATTTTAACTCAATACCTCGTATGTCGGATTTTATTTATGAATTTCTTACTTCTTTTAGACTGTTTTATCACAGCCAAGCGAGTGTCCAATACTTTCAGTGTACGTCCTCTTTTCCCCGGACGTGGTCCCTTTTTTAGATCTTAAATCTCAGTCCAAGTGTTTTAAATATGCAAAAACGTCCGGATTTTTACTTTCCTCATTTTTGCTCCAATTATTATTATTATTATTATTTTATGCAAGCTCAATGGACGAAGGAGAGGGACAAGTTAATTATAGAATCTGTCAGAGATCTTTTACACGCGCGATATAACTACAGAGACATGTCATGTCAAGACTTGCGTAGTAACTTGAAAAAAAGTAAAAAAATGTTATTAAAGAAAATTCAATCTTGGGAGAAGTATAAGAATAAAGACGCACAGGAACAAGAATAAAAAGAGCTAAACGTTTCATGTAGCTGTGCGGTAGTAGTAGATAATCTTTATTGTACTCTGCGAATTTTTATACGAAATAAAACATTTATGGCAACAGTTTGAAAAATTTATTTTAAATATTCATTTTATAATTTAAACATCGCGGTGAGTATTCAACTCTCGGTATTCTATGCATGTTTTATGCAATACAAAATTAAATGGTAAAATTTACTTATGAAAGTACGTCTTCTTTTAGTCACCTTTATTCCTAGCAAATGTCATTTTTTTTATTCTCTTTTGACAAGAGGAAAATATGCTAAGCCTACGAAAGAGTAATAAAGAAATTACGAATCGTGTAGAAAAATTTGTAATCCGTTTAGAGTGACTCGTATTAATTCGTAACGGGAAAGCGTTAGGAGGCTTCATAGAACGATAAGAGGCACGCTGATGCGAGGTGTGCTTTGCACGTATTAAAGTGTTTATTTTGATAGGGGATGAGCAAGTTTTGCGCGAAATCCGCGATGTCAACGTTCTCACCACCTTCGATAACAAGCCCGAGCAGGGCTTCCCAAAGTCTTGCTGAGATGAGCAAGATTGTTAATTTCGAAATGTTTAATGCCAAAGAAAGTGTTGAGAAAATATGCGCGTTCAAATCGATAAAAAATTGGACATAAGAGAAACAGGTATACTAATTTTATAAGATAATCCCTCATTATTTATGGCAATAATTATTTTTTATTACTTTTATAACATTTCAAAAATAATTAAACAGAAATAACTAAACAAATTCAAATAAGAAAAGAAAAAAATAATAAATTCATCAATCTGATGACTTCTGCAGTTGCTCAGCCTTGGTTCTAAGTTCTGAGTCGGTTGACTGTATTCTTAACACCTAGCCAGTAACTGGTTTATCAAATAATTTCGATTTCAATTAATTTATTAATGTATTATTAAAATCAATTCATCTCGATTCAATATACGAGCTAAGTTTCCAGTTTGAAATTGTTCTTGTAACAATCGAAATTACGATTAATCTAATTTATTTATTCATTTGTTTTTACAAATTTGTTAGATCAGGTCAGACAGAGATCGTCGATGGTCGCGGTCAGCACTTTGGGAATCCCTGGGATCGGCGTTTATCGCGCGTACAATATTATTAGCGTCTACGGAACACATTACACGGCCCGTGAACGATTACACGGTTGGCAATTGCGCGTTCGATATCCTGGCCCGTATTCGATCATTTTGTTTATAATTGGTCGTACGATCGGACGCGTAAGGCGAACAGTCTGATCGTAGCTCGGTTGTATAATTAAATAATTTTCAATTAGCAACACGAGTGATACCGATGCCACGGGATAACGCGTACGGTTATTAATCGGTACGATCGGACGATTCTACTAATTGGATTTCAATGTTCATCAGAGTCGAACGGAGAACAGTTGCGTACCGGAAAACCCTGCGAGCTGCGGGTGGATGTCCGCCGGGCCATCTCGTCGTCGCACATCCCGTACAATTCATTATCAGCTTCCCGTCTTCCGGGTTGAATATCGCGATCCTCCGGACAACGTGACCTAAAAGTGGAAAACTGTAAGGGGATTCATGGGGAAATATGGGACTAGATGGACGGGTGGTGTGAGATGGGTCAACGACGTGTCACAGAGACTGCTACTGTGTACGTGTAATCAAAATATAAATTTTAGTGTGAATGAACGTCAGTTTGAAAATATTGCTACTCCAGGCTACACGTGTCGTAATTTATGACGTAATTCTGAAAGTTTCCGATATATTCTTCTAACGATACATGAAATTTATAGTAACAGCAAGTACTTGAATAGCCTCGAGTACGTATTACTTTTTCGTTCGATATTGTATGCGATATATTGTAACAAAATAACATAGATATGTTAGCGATGAAATGTAGAATTGTCGTAGATATTCCCTCTGTGATCTATGGCGTAGCGTCAATTAATTCGTAGACATCTTGCCCCTGCTTTCACCTACAAGCGGTCCGTCGCGTCGTCGTCGTTGGAAGGTCGATGAGCAATTTAACCGCAATAAGATTTGAATCCCCTCCTCGGTTCCTCTTTACATTCGTTAAAAGACGGTTAGGAAGTGGAAATTCTTAAACGTAGGAATACGTTGAAGCGGATTGTGATTTCGGTTTAAACGGACCAAGTTCCGGGACACGAGTCCGCGATTAAACCGGAAAGTGTTTACCCAAACACTTATGTCTTCCATTAATATGGATGCGTTTCGGGAGGAAGCCTCACCGTATTCCAATTTCACGCTCCCGTTAGAGCGGGCAACTCGTTTCGCGTTGCGGATCCATCGAAATGAATTCGGGGCTCGCGGGCATCGCCGGTAATAAGTTCGCGTACGAGAGGCTGCTTCGAACTATTCGGAAGAAGGTCCGATTCACTCGAAAGTTTAATTCCCAGCGGTGAATCCTCTCGCGTTCATTGGAAATCCCTTTTCCTTTAGAATTTGTTTTTTTTTTATTTTTTTACCAGTAGCCCTGAGCTGGTTTGGATAAAGTCGAACGTATACATGCACGAGTCTTGTAAAGAAGGCACCGAGAGGGAATCGAAGGGCATAGAATTCCTATTTGCCTCGATATAACCGCGTTTAAGCGGACGACCTCTCAGAGAATTAGGAACGAGAAAGGTTTTTTCGAACGCGTCGCGGGACAAAGCCTCGAAATCGATTCTATTTCGCTTTACCGAATTTAATCTCGGTCCCCGTTACGCGATTCTTTCGAAAAGTGCAAACGAGAGGAGATAACGTCAGCCGATGCGACTTTACGACGTTGCGAACACTTTTATTTGTTCCATTCCATCCTGTCCTCTCGGATAAATGAAATCGATTCGTTTCGATTCTTTATTCTCTCGATCGCCGTTGGTTTCCTCAAAACTTGTACAGCGTTTATTTGTACAGCTTAAGATAATTATTCTCGACTCGTTTCGTATTATCTTAATTTTACAGGGAGAAGACTCAAAGATATGAACAATTCCTCATTTTTTCAATATTTTATTTACACGTTTGATTAAATACTAACAAATTCTCTACATATAATTGCCCGAGAATTAGTTGAAGAACTTAAGACTGAATTGAGTCAGAACTGAGTTATTTGAAGTCATTATATTACGAGGCTTACCCTGTATATTGTTAACTTTTATTTACATTAAATTGTGAAATGAACTAACATCAGTAATTATTACTTAATACATAGGATAGTATTGTTTAAATCTTGAAACTTTAAAATCATATGAAAATCCAGCTGACATCGGATAAGATCGAGGATTGAAGGAATGAGATATAGATTTATTCCTATTTTTGGGTGTTCACCTCATGGGAGAAACTGACAATCGAAAACGGGTCGAGAATCATCGTCCACCGAGCTGTACGTCACGAATCAAAAAGAAGCGTGAGAAGGAAAGTCTGTTGAGCGATCTAATATCGCGGAAACTGTTCCGTGAAAGGATTACCTCGGGTACGAGACGATATCGGGGTTTTTTTCATCAGCTTAATGACAGCAGCTGGATAATAATCCTCGTTTCGCTCCCACTCTCAGCTCGTGCACGGCCGATTACTATTTCCGGGAAGCCAAAGATAAAACAGGTCGACCCGATCGCTGTTTAAAGGCTCGCGGGAACTACCCGTCTCAGCCCGTATTCCCTTCGTGAATCTTTAAGCGTCTCCGCGCTCTCGGAACGCCAGTCTTGACAGTTCGTGGCCCGCGAATCGAATTACTTTTTGTTTTCTATATAGATTGGCTGGAAAACTCACAGCTGCGGTTACGACGGCGCGTGATCGAGGCGAATACACGACCGAATCCGAATTTTGTCTTGCTGCGAACTGCGGGAGAACACGTACCGCTACGTGGAAACTGTTATCCACGAGATTTTTCATTTTCAACCCCTTCGTATACTGCGCACGCCATTTCTCTTCCTCTAAAACCATTTCTCTGATTATCACCGCTCTTATTAGATGGAAGATGGAACGGTAGTCCGAAGTTTGACACACTTTTTTGAGGATTGCCGGTTCACTCAGACGATTACTTTGCGGTTAATCGACGATCGCTTCTATGTTCTTCAAAGTTCTTTCCCCTGTAATAGACGAAACCCTTTGACGCGAACCGAACCGCACTCGACGGTCCGATTAAATTAGATACAGCGGCCCGCGAAAGTATTCCAACATTTTTTAAAACGGAATCACTTTTTTAATATTGTAGCAAATTACTTTTTTCTTCGTCTAGTAATAAAACAATGCCGAATTCCTTTATTGTTATCTCTTAAAAAGAACCATGAGTAATATCAGTTTAGAAATTAAAGAGAAATCGATACCACCGTGTGGCAGCGGTTCATTAATCATTATTTTTAAGTCGAACAATCGTCCTTTGCTCATCGTGAATTTTTCATTAATCTTCCTTCCTTTTTCCATGTTTGCGATTGAAACGTTTTATCATCGTTGTAAATGTTACAAGAGATCAGTATCTCGTAAAGCGTCGCTTTGGAATTCATCGTTCTGAGTAGTTTTCGGGACGGTGTTCGGAACGCAAAGCGGTGAAGATAAATTCAATTCGAACTGTTACGTAACGGCAGAAAGATCGTCGCGACGGTCGGGAACGATGAAGGAAGAAAGAGATCGGGCGACGGATCTTTTTCCCCCGTCATCGTGATCGTACCCGAAAGAGTAAAAATCCGTGGGCTTCGCCAACGCGACTCTGTATCCGCTACAGGATTTGATGGATTACAGCCGTAGGACCTCGACTGTCGAGCGGTTAGATGGATGAAAGGGGTGCCCGAGTAGGTAAACTGTGAAATGAGAAAAAAAAGAGGGAACGTGTACAGAGAGAACAGGGGTAACGGGAAACCGGAGGTAAAGAAGCGGGCTCGCTGATGGTATCCAATTTGTCCTGCGGAACTACGCCACGAGTCTTTTGCCTATCGCTGATGACGGAGATTCGTGCCAGTTCGTTGACTTTATCAGAAATCGATGCTCGAACCCTCGGAAAAAGAAGAGCCTCTTCGTAGCTCGGACAAGGTTAACGAGCCGAACGATCCCGCTCTGTGTGTCCCGAGCAATCGTTCAGCAACGAGAGTCGCATAAGTGAAAATGCTTGGAGAACAGTAGAAGTCGTAAATTTAAAGACCATTAAAAGCATAAGTCTTGTAATAACAGTGGGAGTTCCTCGTTAATATCTCTAACTGTAAGTCTGTGTACATACAGATGGCTCATAAGATTCACTTCGCCTATACACATAGAAGATATCCAGACATTCACGTGGGTCCAAGTAGCGACGATGCATGGAAAGCAAACGCGACGGTGCAAATCGCTGCAATCCATATAGTTACGAACCTATTAATTTTTGACGTATTGATTGTGTAACCTACGTTGAATAGAGGCGACTTGAGGCGTGCGCGTTCATAAAAATGGCGTAAAAGTAACGTTATTCGGGGACTTTTCAGCTGCTTTATCGCTCGATGTATAGCCATCGCTTAAAAAAAAAACAGGGAAAAGAGAGCAGGGTACGTTCTCCGCGAAGCTTTTAAGAGATTGTTATTCTGAGTAGTTTTCGGGACGGTGTTCGGAACGCAAAGCGGTGAAGATAAATTCAATTCGAACTGTTACGTAACGGCAGAAAGATCGTCGCGACGGTCGGGAACGATGAAGGAAGAAAGAGATCGGGCGACGGATCTTTTTCCCCCGTCATCGTGATCGTACCCGAAAGAGTAAAAATCCGTGGGCTTCGCCAACGCGACTCTGTATCCGCTACAGGATTTGATGGATTACAGCCGTAGGACCTCGACTGTCGAGCGGTTAGATGGATGAAAGGGGTGCCCGAGTAGGTAAACTGTGAAATGAGAAAAAAAAGAGGGAACGTGTACAGAGAGAACAGGGGTAACGGGAAACCGGAGGTAAAGAAGCGGGCTCGCTGATGGTATCCAATTTGTCCTGCGGAACTACGCCACGAGTCTTTTGCCTATCGCTGATGACGGAGATTCGTGCCAGTTCGTTGACTTTATCAGAAATCGATGCTCGAACCCTCGGAAAAAGAAGAGCCTCTTCGTAGCTCGGACAAGGTTAACGAGCCGAACGATCCCGCTCTGTGTGTCCCGAGCAATCGTTCAGCAACGAGAGTCGCATAAGTGAAAATGCTTGGAGAACAGTAGAAGTCGTAAATTTAAAGACCATTAAAAGCATAAGTCTTGTAATAACAGTGGGAGTTCCTCGTTAATATCTCTAACTGTAAGTCTGTGTACATACAGATGGCTCATAAGATTCACTTCGCCTATACACATAGAAGATATCCAGACATTCACGTGGGTCCAAGTAGCGACGATGCATGGAAAGCAAACGCGACGGTGCAAATCGCTGCAATCCATATAGTTACGAACCTATTAATTTTTGACGTATTGATTGTGTAACCTACGTTGAATAGAGGCGACTTGAGGCGTGCGCGTTCATAAAAATGGCGTAAAAGTAACGTTATTCGGGGACTTTTCAGCTGCTTTATCGCTCGATGTATAGCCATCGCTTAAAAAAAAAACAGGGAAAAGAGAGCAGGGTACGTTCTCCGCGAAGCTTTTAAGAGATTGTTCAAGCCTTCGTACAACGAGATCTTTGTGGAACGAAGAGCAGGAAACGGGGAGAAGGAACACGAAAGAAAAGAAGTAATGAATCTTGGTCTTAAGAAAGTGTCGACGATATTCTGGTTTCTAGATCGATTTTCGATTGCGGTAAACGATTCGTTAAACGCCTCGAATACCGTATACAAGCATATTTGAATGAATTACTTCTAAGAGTCGTAATAGGAGGCACGCTCAGTGCATTGCCATTGGACAAATATAAGAAAAAAATCAATTTCTGCGTTGGTACTCGGAAATCATCGTTGAAGGATTCCTGGGTATCCATTTCTAAGATGAGAAGTGTAATTTGAAAGTATAAACAGACGAATCTCTCTGCTACGTTGCATACAAGTAAAAAAGTTCAATCGGAGTTCGTCGACCAAGGAAGTTAGGCAAGCAGTGTTCTAAAAGTGACAATTTTGTATTATTTCCAATGAAAACTGATTTGTTTAGAAGTTATGATTTTCGTTCCGGAATCCGCGACACATTGCACGATCAACTCGATTCCACGTCGCATTTCCTAGCCTCCATCGATCTCTATCTATCCGTCTTTTTCCTCTTTCGCGGATCTCCGTAGTCGATTCGTAAGGATCCCGTTTCATTAATTATTCATCGACTTCTTACCGACGTCGGATGGAACGGCAAACATCTTTTGGTCGCGTTCGCACGAGGCTCACGGGCCATCTAGTTTCATGCATTAGACCTGCGGCGGACACATACGCGGTATCGAGAGTCCTCGTGGCTCTTTTGACTCGGATTCCCACGGTGTGCGCTTTTCAACTACCCCGCGGCGTGTACCAGGAAAATTGCAACGGATCGATCAATTAATCGTCGGACTCGGCCTGGCACGGTCTTCCTTTACAACCCATGAACGTCCCGTTTTCCACCAAGATTTATAGCTTCCGCGATTCATCCACCGGAGCTTTGTCCGAACCGACGGAAGCAAACGCGTATTTAGAAAATAGCGAGTCGAACTTGTTACCTGGTGAGGTAACGAGATTTGCGAGATAATTAGGAGCGAGATGAAAGGAAAATGTTGCCAATAAAACGTGTCGCGGATTGGTTTCATTTGTCGAGTGGCCTGCGTCTCGATGCGGCGTTAATTACGTTTACGGTCGTATCGCATGCCAAATTCATGGGGAGTTAAGTGCAGAGCCGGTTTAATTGTCTCGTGTTTGAACAGTCCGGGGCGACGTGGAAATGCGCGAGCGTATGGTCGGCTCGAGATCAGCTCGCTGGAACGTCAAATCATCGTGATGGCTGGGGCAGCAGGGTTTCGATCGGCTAAAGAGCATTCGAACTCCATCCGTCCATCGCAGACCCATAAATTCGGTTAACCGCGCTGCTACGCGATTCCTGTCTTCCGATCGTTCGTCAAAAAGCATTTTTATTTATTCACCTCTTCTAGTCCCATTCCTCATGTTTAACTTCATATTTATTTTTAATTCAAGTTAAATCTGCTAATTTTTATTATTCTCTTTTCTCAGTATATCTCTTGTTAAGTTTTTATTATTTGTTTTATTCTTAAGTGTACATCTGTGTCATTTACAGGGTGAATCTCGAACCGAGACGATTTCGAGTAATTTGTAAAGTATTTGTTGTAAGATAAAAATTTTTACATTTTGACTGCGTCACCCAAATTCAGGTGACACATGGAATTTTCAATAGGCTGTATTACCCAGAACAGAGTGATAGACATATTGGCTGTGCTATTTCGAAAGGTAGTTAACAGGATATAAGTTAATAAAATATAAAAATATATTATCATAAACTTGAATTAAAAAGTTTAATCAAAGAGAGTATTTCGTTTGGCAATTAAAGTGTTAAAAAAATGTTATATGGCTTCCGCCGGGACGTGTTGTGATTTGTTTTTTTGCGAGATATTCGATATCATGCTTTGCACTGCGTTATGTATAGAAAACCAAAGAGGTAAAGAAGTATTTGAAACGGGAGCGTGGATGTGAAGCACGAGTCAATGAGCGCACGGCACTTTGCACTACCTGGTCGTTCCGTTCGGTTTCGCGGCACTGAAACCGAGCGCGGATAATCTCTATAAATCAAGACGAGTGGATTTGCGATCCTTCATCATTTCCGACTGCGTTCGTCTCTTCGCTTACAGCTTAAATGGAATTTAATTTCGCGCGTTGCAATTTGTCAAATTCGTTCGACTGAGTCAAGGCGCGTAATTTATTTCGATTCTGAGTTTTATTATCATGTATAAAGAATCGATGATTGGAGAGAGAAAATTTATTTTAAATTGTGGTAAAACAAGTGCAGAGTGATTAATTTTTACTAATGTAGAACGTTTGCGAGAATCCTGAATGTTTCCGCGAATTTCGATATATTCTGTAACCCCGAAATTTTCGGAAATCCGACACCGAGAAAAATTATCGTCCTGACACGACCTAACGGGTTCTCGCACACCTTTATAGTCGATAAATGGCATTATCGTTTCTCAATAGCGTTAATTAGCGAATCTTGCATTCTCTCGAAATTGGAGAACATATATCGGAACCGAATAGAGTGCTATCGTGCGCATCGCGTTTTACGGTGGAACGCATCGCGAGAAACGCGGAGCAGCGACTGAAATCATATAGTCGATCGGACATTGAACAATAGGAATGCCCGGTAAATGGGCTCATCCTCCTGTTTAAACGCGTCAGTTAACTGCTCTGCGAGCACACGAGGTGCACCGTCTTTGGGAATTGCTCGCATAGCCTGTTCTCTCGCCGAGTGCTCGTATAGAAACCCTTGTGAATCGTGCGCGACGATATCGTAAAGTTTACTCACCGTGCATCTGGTAGAACGCCGTGATACCCACCCGATCGGCTCCATCGAACGAGACCGGTCCCTGGAATAAACAAATGCATTCAACGTGATAATCGTTATCTTATAAAATAAGCGAAACCGTCGAATATTTATTAAAAGTTGCCATCCACTGTGAGCGTTTCGCCCGCACTGAATATTAGAATGCTGATTTTTATGCAAAATAAAATATTTTCGATGCATAAGATATTGCACGTACGGATAATATCAACCGGATCGTTTTAAATCCTAATCATTCGATTTGTGAATAAGGTATAAAAAATTAAAGAGTCTGCAAAGCGAAGCACGATTTATGCCCGCGTAAAGCTCGCCGACCATGATTGCCTACGTAAATGATCGATGGGAAGGTCCGGCCGCCTAATTTTCGTTTCTCCATTCCGCGAAAATACACTCGCGAATGGTTGTACGTCGTACACAAAATTCGGACTCGACACTTGAATATTTCACGAGCAATCGAGCTGCCATTATTTTAACATTGCACATTATTATTCGCTCACCGAAACCCCGAGGAAACGCAATTGTTTCAATTGTTGCAACAGCTCCAGCGCGATGTCCTTCCGCGTGTGCGTGTACTGCGCCACGCTGGCGTTCTCTTTGGTCAGGATGCTTTCGGTTTGTTCCAATGCTAGAGCCATGGCCCAGACAGCGTCGAAGATCTGACCGGCGAATTTCGAATGCGTTACGCCTCTCTTAGCCAATTCTGTCGTAAACTTGATGCTCGTCTGTAGGCAACGATATTAGTTGAGACAGAAGGGTGGTTCGATTATAAATGGCCGACCTTAATAATAATAATTAATAATAATAATAGTGCAATCAAATGTTTCGCCTATGAGACAAAACAGATTTCATTTAATCTTATCTTACTTCTTTCGCCCGTAAAGAGGAGTTCTACATTTTTATATTGTTTCGCCTCAGGTATAATAAAGAGGTGCGACCGAAGTGGACCTTGCCGTAATCCTTGGAAAACACACCCGAGATTTTCATTACCTTGGAACTTGATAAAGGTCCGGGGACGAGGATTAAATAAAACAAAAATTGCAATCTCAATATCCTACGGCAAGCTTTTCTCTGTTGCTTTTATCGTTTACTAGGGTATCAGAAAAAAATCGCGTTCGATATACGTTGCTATGCATGCGCGGAAGGTAATGCTTATTCCTTTATCCCGATCCTTATCGAAGATGAAGAGAATCCAATTTTTCCTCGCAAACGCTTTACTCGTTCAAGTGAGAAATCAATTTTCAAAAGCGAGACACTGTGTTTGTTATAATAATAACAGGTTAAATAAATACAGTAATCTCCGGATATACGACAGTAACGAAAAACGTATTAAATAATCTGCGAATCTCTACCTTTTCTAAAAACCGAGACTGACTCAATCACACCTTTACGTAACTACCTAGTGGCCAAAAGGGACAGATACTATATACTGACAAAGTATGAACATTAAAGTTTGAGACACTCTGTATATGTGTTCCAATTTCTAATTTAATCGAATCCGCGTTTGTTTCCCATACGAACTCTTGAAAAATCTCAAAACACTGTTTGCTGTTTACTTTTTCCATGAGCGATTCTAGGAAATGCATCCCTCCGGACGTATCCGATCATACATCCAGAGATTATTGTACGTCCAGAGGACGGAGAGTTTGTTCAGCAGATTAAGAATTACCTCGGCCCTCGCGTAATATCGTACGGTCGCATTTCGAGTGCGATATTCCCACGGAAACTCCCGTTCGCTTATAATATTTTCAATCGATCTATTTAGCAAGCGCGTGTTTCGTCGACCACGAGCTATTTACACAAATCCAACAAAGAGGCCGTATCGGTTTTTCCACGTAGGAATTCATTTCTGATCGAGAGCGAAAATTTAATAACCGCTTCGTTATAAATTGCAAATTGCCCTCAACTGTCTTCATCGTCGATGAAGACAAACATACGCGGAAAATCATACGCGACGATGACTAATTGGCAAATCCGACGATTACTCTTGATTCTCGGTCGTCCTTGCATTTATGAATCGAAGATGTTGCAGAAACTTCGCCGAAAGTTGATTGTTTCTAGCCCTTCATTTCTCCCCCGAAGAATATGCAAATTTCGAATATCGATAAGCGTTACGTATCTTCAGCTTCAATTGCCGATACTCGCGAGGAAACCCGCGGGACCACGAATTTCTATTTTTCCACGCGTTCCAATAAATATTCAAGCACCGTAGCCTCGCGTGCACGCGGAATTATTCATGAGGCCGTTCGAAAAAAAGTAAAAGGTAAACTGTTTCGCGGGCAAGCCAGACGCTACGTCCGTATGAAAAGTTGTGATACTGGCGAGAATAAAAAGGAGTCGTGTACAGTGCAGTTTTCCGTGGAGGGTTCGGCACGGGGTTTTCACGTATCGGCGGAACGTAATTAGCGACACGTGAGTTCGTCATTAGCTCGATTGCCCGGACGTGGAAAGTTCGATAGGTAGCTGGCTGGTTGGCCATTATCACGCTCTCTTCTGCCGTGCCGTTTCACTCTAATGGACGGGAAAAGAGGTCCGCGCGTCGGTCTAACGTCGGCAACGATAATGACCGTGCGCGCGCGATTGGCGTGCATACGTTTTCTTCGTTAATGCTTCCAATTTTCACCGACTACGCTGCGTGCGTTATTAAGTATTCAGCCTAAGAGTCGAGGCCTTATCAAAGGATGAAACTCCCGTTCAATAGCACTTTGGCTAATTGCTACTTCAATGAAAAAAAAATAAGGCCGCTTAAGACTCCTGATAATTTAGATAATTGTAACGATAAGTAAGAATGTTGTGCTTGAAACTGTTTCTATAGTCTAACTTTCTTCTCTTTTTATTAGGATTTCAAACCTCGTACTAGATTCATTTAGCTACACACGAGTAGGCCCTCGATTTAAGGGACTAGAGTAGTCTCGTGACTTTTCTGGCGTAAAGAATACTCTCACCAGTCCCGAGGAGCTGACTTCGTGTCCCAGGGCAGAGCCGTGACTCTTGACGATGATCAGGCCATCGAGAGTCTGCGACAGCTGCGACGGCGTGCATTCCTCTGGTACCGAGTGCCACCAATTACCCGTCATTCCCGACAGGTCGATCGTGTCACCTGGCAGAATCCACGCATAATCTCCGCCATGCATGCCGAGCTTCCAGGCCTAATTGGGAACGCGGAGCAAGACAAAAAATAGTGAATAGAAGCAGAGAGAGAGAGTGAGTGAGATTCGCAGTGGAGAGATTAAACGGAGACTTCGCGAGACATTCAACAAGAATCCCTCCACGAGTCTAATTCTCGAGCTCGGGGAGGTGGATAAAAGCTTGGCTTTAGAAACCGACTCTCTGCCGGGATACCTCGCGTTTTTATGTTCCCTCGAATATATGGGTTAACTCGGATAAAGTCATTTATCGTAGCTGCCAAGGAAACGTGACTCGTTACGCATATCGACGTTTCGCGCCTCTATTAAATACCGCGTAATAAATAATAGATAAATGAAAGGGAGAACGTTACTCGTATAACGAACTCGTCGAGTTCGAGGGATCGATCCGCCGAGAGCACTGGTCGAGGCGAGAAGAAAAAGAAAGTTAATAGGACGCGTTGCAAATATAAAAAAGATCTGCGAGAACACGGGACGCCGGTAAGGTCGAAGTGGACGCAACGACGTGCCAGAAATATTTACGACGATCTTGGTAATGAGAAATGATTCCCCGGGACCCCTGCGGGATGCATCTTCGCAGAAATATATGTCCCATTTCGCGTATCGCTTGTTCCCCTCCGTTCACCATTTCTACCCCGTCGTCCGTTCGTTTATATTGCCCAGTGCCTGTGCGATGTTACATATTTCCAGCTATCCGCCATTAGGGACCGTTTTGCCGACATCATTTGTCGGCCGATGCGACGGGAGACGGATCGTTGCTTTATCTTATCGCGAATGATGTATCGTCCCTCGTCGACGCGGTGCAGTTTTTAAGGGCGACTGGTAAAAACTTTTAACGCGTCAACTCTGTAATCAATTTCTGCTCGGGGACCCTTATCGAGTTATATATACCGTGTTTAACGATACAGTGGCGAAGCAACGAGACGTTGCTTTCAGAGAACGCGAGACGCTCGGCGGTGCAAGGATGAATGAATGAATAACAGGTAGTTAAACGTGTAGCACGTTTGACCCGTAAAAATTTCCGTTCATTTCGATGTTTGTATCATATCGTCACAGCCGAAATACTCAAGAACGTAAAGGAATGAAAAGAGAAACAGTAAAATTTCACTGAGAATTTGCGTTTATTTTTCCCGTCGTTTCTCGAAATCTCTTAATTCCCGTGGAAAAAAAGGACGGTGACGCGCGACGTCGGCGTCGCGACGGCCGGTTATCGGGAAATCGTCCCGCGTACCGTCGTTACGCCTCATTGTCTTCCGGCGTTTCGCGGGGGTGGGACGCGAAGTTAAAAAACTGGGTCGCGTTTGAATGGGTGCCTCGCTCCCGCCCGTTCGGTCCCTGTCGTTCGTTCGACGCGTGCGGATGCTGTCCCGTGAATTCGCAATTGTTGCCGCGCGTGGAGACACGCCGAGTGAAAATGAGAAATGTGCCCCGAATACGGGACTACCCCTATGCGATATTGTTTTCGTTGCGTTGCCTATTACGTAAAAGGGAACGGCGGCGCCCGCACGTAAATTACAGACCTTAACGAAGTAGAATCTATCTGGAATGGACGATAAAGAAATAGAGACGTCTGTATTTTTTTCCTCAAATAAAACAAAAATTCATTCTTATACTGCTAATATTTTTTGTCTCTTTACGTAAGTAGGCAATTTTTGGTTATTAAAATAGCTAATCGGTCCACTCAGAGACGACGTTACGCGGCTACGACTACGCGAGCATTAACGGAATTCGATGGGGCGAAACTGGGTGATTGGACAGATAGAAAAAAAAGCATGTTTCGGATGGAAAGAAATTCGGTCGGCTTATCAGCAATTAGAGAACGATCGAGCGAGTCCAGGCGATAAACGTCTGTTCAGACGCATCGCGGAACAAAGGAAAGGGTGCAACCGGTATATTCATGGAACGATAGCGCGTATAAGCGTTATCCGTATTTTCGGTTGATTTATACCGGAAACGTTTCCACGTTTCTCGTTTCGTTGTGTGTATGCGCGCGAAAAGAAAGGGACGGGGGGGATGAGGATGCGAAAGCCGGGTCGGATATCATTGTAATAAACGGCCGATGCCGACCCGCGAATATTAAACATCGGACGGACGAAGTAACGAGTATCTTTTGAATGGGGATGATGCCTATCGTAGATCTGCTACCCTACCGGTGTCGGTTAGATGCGGCGTTATATTGCCCGCCGGCAAACAGTTATTTCCTGACCGGCAATTGTGCGGCGGCGAAGATGTCAGAACCGCGGCTATGATGAAAAATCGTCTTCGCAAACCGAATCCGAGGTTGCACCGCTGGGGGGATTTTTACTCTAATAAACTCCTAACGATGTATCCAGCGACTGCGTACAAAAGAGGGTAAAAAACGAACAATCAGCTGAAGACCAAAATTTACATTTTCATCCGAGCTCAGCTACCGACGAAGCAATGGCGTACTCAGGTAAATGTTGCAATTTCTATTCACGTACCAATTTCTATATCACTGGCGTTTTTATTTTCTATAATTGAAGCGTAACAAATATGTAAAATAAATACAACAAAAAGTGTTTTTAATATTTATCAACATTGTTACGCATGATTCCATGAGGTAAAATACATATACTGTAAAGACTCAGTCGGATCGTCAAATATTATTCAAATCCGGTCACACATTTGGTACTTTCTATTGTGCTGCAAGTGCAATATTGATTTCATGATTTTCTAAAGCTCATCAAACATCTTTCGCTAGGACGAAGAAAACGTTTGTGAACGTTGAATACATTTTATTTATTTATTAATTATTGACGCTAGCGAAAAATTGTTCAATACAAGAATTGTAGGTCCTGATGTACTCTACAAGAAAGATTCTATGCATTTTTCGTCTAACTTGAGTATTTAACGAGTTACGTATGATTAATCGGCATTTTATAGGTGCTGAGAAAATCCGACCATTCCACCGTCGAAATAGCCAACTTTTGGCAAAAAATTTCGTTTTTTGCCAATAACTTCCAAACCGTTGGATTTACGGGAAAATTGCATCAGACCTTTTTTGTAGCTGACGACGAGAGCTACAAATTCCATCTAAAAATTTTTTACTAGCGTTAACGGTTAACGAGTAATTGGCGAAAAACGAAAAAACAGTTTTTTGCAAATTACTCGTTAACCATTGACGCTAGCGAAAAATTTTTAGATGGAATTTGTAGCTCTCGTCGTCAGCTACAAAAAAGGTCTGATGCAATTTTCCCGTAAATCCAACGGTTTCGGAGTTATTGGCAAAAAACGAAAATTTCGCAAAATCTGAAGGGGTACCCCTTGGAAAAATCTCGGAAAAATCGAAAAATTTTTTTTGGTCAAAATTTCGAAAAATGCTTTGAACAGAAGTTGTAGTTACTACTATTACCTACAAAAAAGGTCGTATACAATGTTTTTCTATCTCGAATACTTCAGGAGGCGCTAATGAAATTATTTTATTTCATCGAGTATAAGGATTAGGCAAGTCATGAGTTTACTTGGATTTATCTGCAATTACCAATATAACTAAAAGGAAACTTGACGAAAATTGTGTAAACTTGAAAGGTTAGTGGATGTATTTTAAAATTATTTAAAAACGAGTACCCGAAGCGGCGAGGAATTTCCTCTCGAAACTTGAAACGTAAAGGCGACGAGGGAATGGTAATGGAAAAAAATAAGCGCACACTCGTATAATAGAAATTGTATACGTGTCCCCGCACCTGTGATGACACGAGGGAGAGAACGAAGCCGCGTCCTACTTCGACGCAATGTTCATTATTCGCTTAGCGGGAACGTGGACGCGTGTTTGCGTCCCATCGATTTACACGTGGAAAATCGAGGCGCGCGTCCCTTCTCGATGGACAAATTTCAGTTTATCGATTAGGACGTTGAAACGTGTCCGTTTTCACTTCCACTGGCGCGGATTGAAACCGCGACAGGATCTCGGCTCGCGTATTTTAATGTCGCGTCTCTGGCGCGGAAGGGTGTAATTCTCTCGGAAATTACAATTTTACGAGCGCCTGTAAAAATTCGCAATCGACCTATCGTCGTGCGCTCGTAAACGCAACGTACGTATCCTTCCAATTGGCTTCGGTCAAAAATAGTAGAATTCGTAGATCGAGTTCGAACGGTTCGACAATGAATCTCGATCCGTTTTACATTGTTTTAATTTCTCCTAGAAGGACAAGATCCAAAAATAATAATAAATCTATGCCTTGTTTCTTCAATCTACGATTAACATATTTAATTAAATACGCGTTTACGCCAATTAGAAACGCGTCGAGGATCATCGTCGCAAGCTTGAGATTTTAGATGCAATTCGTTGGAAATGATTGAGTACGAAAATTTGTTAACGTCGTATATGTCGCGAAACTCGCAGAACTTTCTTTCGCACGTGACTACAGAAGAATCGTTGACACAACGTTTCCCGTCGTATAGGAAAAACGAAGATGAAGATGAAGAGAAAGGAGGAACCTTGATGTCGCCGGAACGAGGGTACGTTTTTCACATTCAGAGTTATCTTCTTACGAGTTATGTTCGTGTACACGACAAAACGTTCTTCCAGCAAAATAATCTCGCCTCTGTCCTTTAACCGATCCCCCATTGTCGTTTTTATTGTCATTAACTTGTGTCGGTGTTTTCTTTCACATTTTTCCTCAGTTAATAATTGCTCACTGATCGTTTAATTCTTTGCATTTTTCTTGTCTCTACTTCCTACAGATCGACATATTACTATGACTAAAGTTATCGTCACTTCTTGACTGCATATCACGTGATGTTAAATTAGCCCATCATCACTAATTAAGTAGTGGAGTACTTAATATGTTCGAGATAACCAAACCCGTTGCCTGTGCTTCGCTTTATTAACATTTGAAAATATATAATAAAAATTAATGTAGAAAAATATGAGATTGCTCGAGGTTCGAGATGACTAAACACGTTGGCTCCAAGGCCAGTTTTCGTTCTACCTCTGGCTCCTTTTTTTTATAACGTCCATTAATGGATTAAAGTTTTAAATGGGTTCCGGGTTGAATTTACATAAAGCTATCGCGCATAATGGATTCAGTGAACTTCGCTGCGTTGCGTACGCTGTTTTTACGAAGCCAACAAGACCGTAAACCTGTCCCCGGTTCGGTGTTTTAACGCGCATTTAACATTTTTTATCGCCGGCGAATAGAAGAAACGTTCAACTCCGACAACTATTATTCCACGCGCGAGGATATTGTGTAACCGGGGAAAAAGCAGTATTGTACCCGCAATAACGAGCAATCTCTCTCTCACTGTCTCCTTTTGGAAAACTCGCATGTTACGAGTTCGCGATTAAATGTAGGTAGATCTGAATGCTCACCTCGCAGAAAACGCTTGGTGCCAGTCGCGGCGAAAAACTCCCAATGATGATTCTCGTGTCCAGTTCCTGAAAAAATAGTCGTCGAATTCAACGTCCGCTTTTTTTTTCGCCTAAGATTTTAAACGTTTTTGCTTCGAAAGTTTGACTTTTTCCCCAACCTATTATATTTGCTTATTTCTCAACGACTTCCTTTATTTCCGTACAAGCTCAGAGTAGTTGCGAAGGAGAGTAAAGAAACACTAGGTAAATGTTACTGTTTCTCGATATTAATTAACCCCTTGACATACAATGACGAGTTTGACTCGTCATTCATTCCATTTAATTTGTATGTCAAAGGGTTAAAAAATGCACAGGCCTTGGAAGGTAAAAAGGTGAGAGTGAATCGTAGGGCGAGCGCAACCGTTATCGTTCATTCCGGAACCCCGAGCTAGAAATCCATGCCTGAACGTGTTCCGTATACCAGAGCTACGCGGAAGTAGCCAGGCGTGAAAGATTCTCACAACGCAGAGGAAACCGTGCTACTTCCGTGGTAGCTTCGCAGCAGTCCGCAAATCTCGCAAACGAATTCGTCCCGGAGAAGCGAGGGAAGAAAGAAATTTCAATGAAGTCTCAAGTACTAAACACGGCTTACTTTTAAAGTTCGTAGCTGTTCCTTGTAATCGTTCTCCGCGAACGTGATGGTAGCCGTGCATGTGATGTTCGCCTGCTCCAATTCCGTGACTAGATCGTTCACCGCCTGAAAACGAAGCGAAACAGTCCAGAACAGTCTTAACGAGTTGTACGATTTCGAGTATAAGATGGATGTACCATTTCTGGGCAACTTAATTATTATTAGTTTCCATATCATATAACGATATAATATTACGATATAACGATATTATATAACGTATAACTGATAAAAAACATAGCTTTGAAGATCATCAGTCTACTCCTGAATATATAGTCAGTCAAAATGTTGTAAAGTGCACAACGTTCGAAGCGTAAGAATCGAAAAAAATTTTAGATAAGACTCGATGATAGAAAAAACTGTTTTAAACAAAAGTTGGAAGTATAGCTATTACCTAGAAATAAGGTCATGTACAATTTTCTTACAGTTCCAATACTTCAGAAGTAATCATAAAAAGTATGAGAGTCCAGTTTCTCAGTAATAGAATTTCGATACAGACAATTTTATCACAACTCCAATATTTCCCGAGTAATCGGCATGGGTATGAAATTGATTCCTCAGTATGGAATTTATAGATTATCGGATTATTGTCATATAACGCGTTAAATATTGATTCTAGTGAAACCTGTTTTAAAAAAGAAGGTTGTCATTATAGACATGGTATAAAAAGAGCGCTAGATCGTTTATGTTTTTAAAAATAAAAGAAATAAGCACGAAGCTTAATTCGTCACTGAAGTTCTGCATTTTTTGGCGACGGTTTGAATTTAATCTTTCATAATATGAAACTCATCCCGGCGTATAACGAGCTGCGCGAAGTTGCGTGTGTTCGCGGATTTGATTAAAGTTGCTCGGTTGAGTTGGTTGGCGTCTCGGGTGCTTACCAGAGAATACATGTCACCGGTTTGCGAGAGGGCGGTGACGGTGTCCCATCCGAAATGCTTGATGAGTGCTATCCTGGCGGGATTGTGACTCGAATCAGGTGCGACCGTGCGGAGAAATAACGGGAACTCGGTGGTATCCGAGAGCGCGGGTGCCGTCGATCCGAACGAGACTTGAATCACGTTCCAATAGGGCACGATCTTCGCCAAGGTCTCAGTCACCTCCGAGCAGGCGGTTCCCAGCAGCAGAGGTATCAAATCGTTCTCCTTCGCGGAATAGAGCGCGTGGAAAAATCTGTCCACTGCCACTCCTGGGTCGCACTAAAAAGAAACGAGCAGACTAGCATATTATTTTAAGTAGTAGTAATAATAATAATGATCATAATTTTATTGAACGGGTAATTTCTTCGTTTAAACAGAAAATACATTCGAGTCATTAAATAAATTAATAAACGTGTAAAACTGGTTGACTTTAGCTATGGATCTCGAAGTAACGTCCATATCTGGAGATATATCTACTCTGATAGAAAGTATTTAGCAGCCTGAGATGACTAAAGGGAGCATTCAGCCTCTAAGATCACAGATTCTATCGATCTCGCGATATCTCTGGAAACCGCCTGATGTCAGATACGCTTGCCAGTCATTTGATGAACAACAGCCATACACGGCACTGAATCGTCATTCAATTGCTCTTCCCCATAACGAAACGTAACGTTGTATTTGATTTCCAAATAGTCTAATGCAAAAGCCAAACTAAGACTTCCTCACGATTTTCAATTATTATCACGAGATAGGGAAGCGACTGCATAAATATAAAGCAGGCGATCTCGTAGCCATTAAGAATTTTGATTGCACATCTAATTTAGTTCACTAGTTAATACCGCCGTTTTAATGGTCCTGACGAGATTGCAAGGGGCTTAAGAAATAATCGTTATGTATAATCTGATGTGAAGAGATCCTAGATTACACAGAAACCGTAAGATACGTATGGGAATCTGGCAATGTACGTTCATGGAGTGCAAACTATGAATGTGAATGTCAAGTAAAGGGCATGATCTAACCGACGTTGTTAGAGAACTTCGATCGGAGATTCCATCGATCACACGATATCTCTGCGAACCGCCTGATATCAAATACAGTTGCCAATCATTTCATGAATAGTAGACATTACATGGCACGAAATTGTGCAATCGTTCAATTGCTCGTCCTCGTAACGAGACGTAACGTTGTATTTGATTTACAAATAACGTCTAAACTGCAGAGACTAAATTAAGCCAGTCTTACGAGCTTAATTTTCTTAAGGGGGTAGACTCCAATGGCAGCGGAATCAGGCAGATTGCCAACGTCATCCACAAAATTAATGAAAAATATGGATTCACGGGAATACACTTTTCGTCCTTGTATGAGAATATTTCTCGGTCGTTAGGTACCTGTACAGAAAGAGGAAAGTAAAATCTGGCGCGCTCTGATCTACCCCCTTAAGGGATGTTCTTTTTTCTTTAATATCAATGTATCAGTTTCGTGGAAGGCGTCTACGACGGCGCGCTCGCGAAATCGGCCAAGAGAAGGAAAGACGTGCTTCGAATAGAAACCGAGCAATTATAACGCGGCGTGTAACGAGAGGCAAAAAAGTGGAGGGAAAAAAATCGGGAACGCTTCAGCTCCATTCAGATACGAGTAGACGTCTGTGTACGTGTGCGTTCGCTGGTAAGGGCGAGAGAAGACGAGTCGGCGAGCCTTAACGAGCAATTATTCAACGCCAGCGGTGACTAGGGCTGGCTCGAAAACGAGCAGACGTAGCCAAAGGTATGTCACGTATACACGTACTAACATCTTGTTTCACGATTATGAAACCAGTAGGATAATTTCGAATATATTCAGCCGTCGTTCACTCCCCGCGAAATTACCTAAATGCATTTCAAGTAACATATTTACGATAAATAATTCGATTGTTCGAAGTTGAAGCTTGTACACAGCGAATTTTATGTATGTAATTATATCACATTTAATAATGGCGCGTATAATACGTTTCAGAATATCAAAAGCTGAATGGATATTTTAATGTTTAAATAATTTAACGCCAAGATGAGCACTCATAAAGCGTTTGATACATTGTTCCACTTTCTTCCTTTTGCGCAACTGGTTTTATCGCAAATTTGCTGTAAATCGTTTATCTGGGTTACCAGATATGAATTATGGAGAAAGTATACATACAAACGAGTATCGGCACGAATATGCGATCCCACACGTCTCGTTCGTCGTGTTTCGATATACTTGTTCCGAGAAAACAGAAGCTTCGTTAAAGTCCGACTGTTACCGGGACGAATTCGATCGGAGCTTGTGCTTTTTCAGCGAAGCCATCCTTCACCTCCAGCGTCGTCTTAATCCGATCCCTTTCCTATTTGAATTTCAGATAACGCATCCTTTTTTCAGAGCTGACAGTGCGGTCTCTGGAACCGCTAGCCCTATACGTTATGCATACATCCATAATCTCTGGTCCGCGAATCCGCGTTTACACGAGTAGCGTTTCGTGACGCATAACTCGATTAACGTACGGAGCTCGTTCTGAATCTCAATCGCGTGTGTACTGAACCCTTGGCACGGTTCGTTTAACTACGTGCGACATTCTATTATAAGACACGTCCTTAGAGCTTGCGATTCTATGTAGAAATTTTATAGTATGCAAATAATGGTGTTACACTGTTTTGTCAATGCACGAGTGTAATCTAAATGATGTTCAAAAGAATGCTTTAAGGGAAGCCGGGGCAGAGATTAAAATTGCATGTCCCGCGTCGCATCAAACCAACTTCCCGCGAGGAATTCGGAAAGGAGTTCAAACATCGCGGCAAGTCGGCAGCCTTCGCGTGCCTTCTACGCCCTACATGTAAGCTCGAGGACGCTGGAAAAGTTTGTAATGAAAGGCACGATGCGGACGCTTAATGGGAATCGATAAAATGGCTCGGATTTTTCACCTGAAATCAGTGGTAAATCGTCGATTCCGTCCTATTTAATTTTTTATTTTGTCCATCGTTATCGGACTTTCGTGGAAAAAAATGTGTTAAAATTTTGAAGACCTGTTTAAATTTATCAGGTGTTATAAAAACTCTATTCAACTTATTATTCGTCTTCGTTAAGCAATAGCGAAGAATTAATTTGCAATGTATAGTCATTGTGCTTGCTAATAATGAATGTATTGTAATTGATGCAACATTAAAAATTTAGTTGAAAAACATAATTCCTATATTTAATTATTTTTGGTTATTCGCTATTTAAATTCTTATAAAAAATTCGCTCAATCAGAACTAAGGATCTTAAATAGAGGAAAATAGGAACGATCGTTCAATCTGTTCCGCGACACGTTAACAGGATAATGGTAGTTTGTGAAGACGACAGGAGTCCCTCAAACTTCCTAATAGCGCGACGCTTTATAGAATACACGCGATTGTCCTCTATCGGGGAAGCAAACGGTGAAGTTTTCCCTCACCGTAAGTACATAATTATGTTATAGCCCGCAATTGCATCAAGTCCAGCCCAGAAGTACTCGCGAAACTTTCGTCGAAAACCCGTAAACGGGAACGTAAAACGTTTATTCAACATTGGATCCGTCCTGTTAATTTCTTCTCGAATGCGCTTGCTGGAACTTGGCATGTGCCGACTCCTTTTCATACGAGCGACGCCGATACCGTTGCTGTCTCTTCCTTTTCATCTGTTTTGTGTCAACGCCTAGCCGGCAGGAAACAGATAGTACTCGCCTGTACCGTCCTTAAATAAGCCGTGAATCGCGATAGATTCCTCGCTTGACCGACTTACGGTTCTTATAGAATTCTCGTGAGATCATTCGCAATGACGTATATCGATGTTCCGTCCTCATTACCAGAACAGAACAATCTTGCAGATGATGAAACAAACTAGATCGAACGGTTCTTATCAATTCCCACCGAAAGCTGAGCGCAATTGTCTCCATCATTGCGTAAGTAGTATGCATT